AGCATCTGCCTTCGCATCAAATTGCAGCTTGCTACTATGGTTAGAGGCTGCCCGGGCCACACCGTCTCCTCCATCTAGTCCATCCAGGCATTTTACGAGGGCACTGAGGCACAATGCTGAGCCCGGGCCCTGACATGCGTCGAATTGCAGGCATGGGAAGCGGCCGCGAAGGCAGCAGCTTCGGCAGACACGATCATCGCTGCTGGAGTTTGAGCTCAGATGCTCGTCAAAGTGGTTCAGAGTACACGACGGGTTGCGAAACCGACGGATCGCTGCTGAAGTTCTTGCCAAGGAGTGAAGGAGCAGCCAAATGCCTTTGGTGGTCTTATGACGATGCTGTATGGCGTGCCTCTCAAGGTAGACAAACAACTGATCACAAAACAAGTGCAATGTACGAGTGTTTCCTGCAGGTGACCTTGGCTGATCTGAAGAAGCTGTGTGGCAGAGGATGGTGGCCGCTCATGAGCCTTGCCAAAGAGCTTCGGGTGAAGAGCGTCGAGGCATCATTGAGGACTCGGACAATCCATGTTAATCCGTGTCTTGTGCACCGGTAGATGGATTTGCTGACAGCGATTAGAACTGACCAGAGGAGCCTTCTCATGGACCTATGCAGAAATGCGCCCGTGGACATGCTCTGGGGATTGCTTCAGCTAACACATGTCCACAATTGCAAAGCTGAGATGAAGTGGTGCTGTGAGGCCCACTGCGTGCTGCTTTGCATCTGCAGCGACCCGTGAGTTTGTGACGGTCTTTTGCACAGGTGTTGGCCAGAAATGGAGGGAAGGTCTCCGGGAACACTGGGCTTGCAGCTGTGCGGTCCTTGAATTTAGAGGCGCTTGGAGTTCTGCTGTCCAGCGATGGCTGGGTGGTTTCCATGGAGTCCGAGCTGTTTCTGATCGTGGAAGCCTGGCTGAAAGGGCAAGCTTGGGTCGACTGGTCCAAGAAAGGCCCCCAGCCGGAGAAACCACAACCGCATGTTTATGCGGCATCTGCCAAATGGGGTATTCGCTGGGGCCATATCCACACCGAGCTGCTTGGATTTGTTGTGAGTTGGTCTTGCTTCACCAGTCGGTTCTGAACTTCCAAGCTTTGCAGCTCGCCAAGGCTGATGGACAGGCTGGCGTTTAACCGCATCATCCCAGCATCCCTGCTCAGTGATGCAGACCGCTGGCGTGCTTCCGCAGGACTTACGGAGGTTGCAGTCGCTTGTGGTGGGATTACTTTTGAACTACAGTGTTCTTTTCGCTTACGGTCCTGGCCAGAGGAGTGGTTTTGCCACCGCTGGCTTCTCGCGACACGAGCAATGTCGAGACGGGGACGAGCCGAAGAGAGGATGCACTGCCGGATCCATTTCCTCCAAAAGATGCAAAAGCACCGAAAGAGCACAAACAGACTCCAGAGAAGCCATCACCGAGCAGCCCGGCCAAAACGCTGACTGTGACTGGACCATCGAGCTAGGTGTGCTCTCCGGTCCGAGTCCTAGGTCCTCGTCGTCCTGACCGACGAAGCACCCAGAAGTTCGAGTCGAGAAAGTCAAAGGTTTCCGAGGATCCACCGCCCCAGAGTCACCAGGGTCACCAAGGTCACCAGAGTGCCGAAGCAAGGGCATTGAGTGCTTTGGATGGCTGGAGCAAGACTTTGAGATCTTTGGGTGTCCATACCTCTTAGAGTCTTACAGCCTTTGATGGCGGTTGGCTGCCCAGTTGTCAGCGGCATGCTAAAGCTCTTCTAGATGGTTCAGAGTAGCCTGTTTTCACAGAAGGTTTTGAGCAAGCATGGTGACGTGTTGGCTAATCACCGTAACTTCCAGAGTCTAAACGATGGCTTCTCACCCAGTGGTGAGCAGACGGGGAGACTCAGCTTCGCGCCTAATGAACTGCAAAAGAGTCTCAAGATTCACAGTAGGAAAAGGGCTTGCAGGTCTTGGTGCCACAACATCTGTTCTTTTGGCATGTTGCCCGGGGAAAGCACTTAATGTCTGTCTATGTGCTCATCTCCTCGATCGCTCCGTGCTGGTATTATTCCTCGACCTTTTCAAAAGCTGCGCAGAATATGCCGTGCTAAGGTGATGCCATCCGAGTCATCCTTTCAGACCTTCGGCAGATGAGAATTTTTGATACTACGCCCCAAAACCCCAGAACTCTCCTCTTTATACACCCTGTATACTCCCCCTACAAGCCCCATCTGGCGCACACGGCACGGCAGAAGCAACAAGGCTCGAGTCTCGTCTGGGAGCACCGTGCCTGTGGCTCCTGAGACTACGGAATGGCGCACTCAGTCAGTGCAACTGCAAAAGTCCACCAATGCAATGGACAGCTTCCTTCAGGGTGCCTGGACTAATTTCATGGCAGAATAAAAGAAAGATGAAGCTGTGTTTCGGCATTCCTGCTGTGCCGGCGAAGGTACCAGTGCCATATGCGATGCTGTGGATGTTCGCTTTGGCCTTGAGTACACGCACTACCGTCGACCGGAAGAAAAGCCTGAGCACAAGGAAGAGCAAGAAGTTTCCGAAGAGCTTAAGGCTGCAAAGAAGCCTGATCCCCGGAGGGTAAGCAGTGGTGATTCAAGGCTTTGAATCCCTGAACCTGTCTTTGATCAGCTGCATCTTGTCTAGGCTGGCAGGGAAGCGACTGGCGTATGTGACTCCAAGTTGTCCGTGGATGACACGGCGGCGTTGCTTTCACACATCCTTTGCCACGTCCTGGCATGCCTTTCAGAATTTTGCAACTGTAGCTGTTGAGAAGGGTGCTACAACTATGCACTACCGCGCCTCTGCACCATGAAAGTAAATTTTCCAGGATGAAGCAAAAGGGTTCGATTTTGACTCTGTTCGTACCCAACCGCCAACAGTGGCAAGGACAAGCTCTACAACATTCCGAAGCTGTCAGCAAGGGCCAGAAGGACAACAGGCTGGGATACGATGACTGCGCCTTCAGAACTCGGCCGAAGGGCCTGAGCACATGCGAACTCGGTACTTCGTTGCGATGTCTGCTCGTAGGTCAGGAACCGGCTCGTAGCTTTGTAGCTGAGCAAATGCTTGTCGACTGCAGGCTTTCTGCCACTTGCGAGATCCTGAATCTGTGGCGCAGTGCAATTGGTAGGTTTTGCCGTTTCGGACGACTACGACTGCCAGGATTTGTTTGACCCACATGCAGGTTTTGATCTAGGTTCGTTATTGTTCATCGGAGCGTATTAAGTCGGCGGTGGCAGTGAGGCCCGGAGATTTCGCGCGGATGGTCTCGGCAACCTCCACAGTCTCGGCCGGCGAAGAGTCGGCGTTCTCATCGAACATGAACGATTTGGATGAGGACGCGACGAGGAGTGCCTTGCCTTTGAAAGTCTATCAGGCAGCCAGGTGCCGAGACGTGCAACCCGAAAATCCCTGTTTGCTGGCTTGAGGCTCTCTCGTCCATTTGATAGCTACGCGGACCGTCACCATGGGGCGGCACGAGTTCTTGCTGCTTGTAATCGTCTTTTAGGCAGTGAGGCAGAAGCACGATGGTACTGGCTTAAATGCTTTCTGAGTGCATGTTTGTTAAGCATGGAGCTAGCAGTGGTATGGTAGTGGTTTGTGTGATACATCGAGATCCCGCCATGATGCGAAATATCTCGCGAATCAGACATGGTGGAAAGCAGTCGAGGTTTCGGGTTCTTGTGGAACGGCCTCGTTTGTCGGATGGGGAAGCCGAGAGTCTAGATACCAAAGACGTCATTGAGAAGTTTTCAGCAGCTGTCAAGCTTGGCGTGGGCATCTTTGCAAATCCGACTTTCTCATCTGTTCGCCCAACGGGGGAAGAGAGCTTGTTTGACAAGCAGTTCGTCATTCCGCTTGCCAGCGGCAAAACAACGCCGCACTCAACGCCTTCTGGTGTGGTGTCGGACATTGTCTGGCTCAGACAAGATCAGATGCTCACCTCTGTAGCACAAAGCGAGATACCGGACCATTGGCCTGCTGCTGGGCTTTTGGACGTCTTTATCCTCGCCGTGCTTGAGCCGGCGCAGAAGACCTTGAGCGTTGCCGTGGATGCGGGCTTTACCAAGCCCTTCGGCTGCGAGGACATGGAGCCCGAGGTCGAGGAAGAGCCCGATAAGAGCCAGAGCCCATGGGACGAAACATGGCTGAAGGCAGCTAAGGCAGATATGCAATGATATACATAATTCATAGGTATGAACTCACATGCGCATATAGTTTTGCAGACTGGTACATCTTGAAAGGGGGGACGACCGCTCTTCCAACAGTTTCTAGTCACAGCCCACCTACATGTGGCAGAGTGGGAATTCGCTGTGAGCTAGACACATGAGGTGGTGGGCACGGGTGCGCCAAAGATTTATCCGATGATTGCCACGCACTTCGTGCAGCGCCGGCAGTTCTTAAGAAGATGGAGATTCGAAGAGGCATTGAAGCAAGACCTAAAATCTGGCATCGCGTTGTCCCACTCCATGAGATCGGCAGGACCGCTGTCAGCGTTTAGTCTACTGAGTCCATGCGGAGTAGTGGCAAGTGGAGAAGTTTGTGGCAGCAGCTACTTGCAAAAGCTAGCCACGCCGGACGCCAGGACCCAATCCCTTGTTGGTGCCGGTGCTGGAACTGGATGTGCAAGCGTTGAGCTGCATGGGTGGCCACGGGGGAAGTGCCACAATCGAAGCACTACCGGGGGGTGCTTTGAGGTGCGTTCCGTCGTTCTCCCCTCTGTCCCAACTCAAGCTGACGTGTGTCAGGCCATCCTGGTGGATTGACCGGATGGGAAACTCTGTAGACATGCCCCGACCACATCTCAGCGCTGAGATGGAAGAGGAGCCCTCTGCAAGCCTGCGAGGATAATATGTCCCAGGCCTTCATGTACAAAGTTCAGGGCTCTGCAAGCCAGCCTCGATAATGTGTTCGTCGGCACTGGCAAAGACTGCCGGAGCCAGACGCAACCCGTCAGTTGTTTCCCAGGAAAACTTGGGCCGGCTTTTTGATGACAGATGCTGCGCTAGCATGCATTTCCTTGGCGCAGGTATCCGGAGGGTGCTCATGAGCTTCAATTTTCACTGGAGGCTCACCGCCCCGGAGCGCCTCGCAGCTTTCGTGCATGTGAGAAGTATAGACATGGAGTACTTTGACGGGAGGAGTGCTCTGCAACAGGAAGATGGGGCATTCACCGAGTGTCGCTTGAAGACCCTAGTCATTGACGAGGACGGATTGCAGAAGTGTGGTACGGGCGAAGGCAAGAAACCGTGGTGCAGGTACCAGAGGCTGCACCGGCTTTCCTGGCTCCCGGCGAGAGGCGCAGAATGTCGCAGACGAGAAAGTGAGGCACACGGCGGTGGTGGGTCCATCTCTCAGGCCGAGCAGCTTCCGAGCCAAGCAGGCCGAGGCGCCGGAACGGACTAGTACAGGCAGCCCGGGGAGTTGTGGCGTTGCAGCAGGTGTGGTGTGCAGCTCTCAGCGAGTTTCAGGAGCTGGATGCGCCGGATGTCGTCCGTGCCTGGGTTAGTCCGGAGTCGTTGTCAGCAGACGGGCTGTGCTGGGGCGGTCGAATCAGGTAATGAAGGTGACGTTTCGTGCGCCCGCACGGGCCCAAATTCGAGAGGTGCGTGCATGCTGTTTGTCATATTCTCATGAGGGTGCCCTTCGATCGCAGCAAGGCAGAATCGCCCGAAGCTCCTGCGGTCATACTAAAGGCCAACACCATTGGCAGCGATGCCGAGGCTGCTTCACTTCCTTTTCGCCCATGCTTTTTGTTGTAGGGTGGGTGGGGGGGGGCAGGGCGGACGAGAAACTCCTCACAGGTGGAGTTGGCGCACAGCAGTTTGGAAGAGATCGAATTGGCAGAACAAGCTGCGACAGTGTTTGGCTCAATCACTGCATCGGTGTTGAACTGCTGCACTGGTGTCAATGCTGGCCTCATGTGTCTTTGAGGCCGGAGAAATCACCCACAGGCCATGTGTTTGATTATTTGATTTAAATTCGCCACGAGCTCTTTAGCACCATTCATTTGCACCAAGAATCTGGACTGTTCTTGTTATCAGCTTTGATTTTGGCTCGGGTCAGTCGCCGGGTTGTGCAATTTTTTCGTTACGTGGACGCCGAGCTGGCCCCATTCTCAGCATGTACGGAGGCTTGAACATTCGTGTGTTCTCCACTGCTAGAATGTGTAACCAGGTCTACCATGAGTCGCTGGCTCCTTGCGGCCGTGGCGCCGAGCCTCGTGACAGGCAAAGTGAAGATCGAGGTGCGCAACCATTTGTCTGTGGTTCTTCATTATTACAAGTATTACCTAGTATGGCAGTGCAGGCCATGGAGCATGACATCATGCAGATCCAGGTCGATCGCCCTGCGTGCCATGTTCCAACTTCACTCTTGTCGATGACTCGAGGCATCCACATTCGATGGCATCATCTCGAAATTCAGAGACAGTTCTGTGAGCAGTGCTCTCCTCAGGAGTTGAATTCTGTGGAATTTGTGTTTGCGCACCACCGCGTTCGTGCTTGCTCAGGTCTGTGGTTCTTCAAGGACGATGGCAAGGAAGATGGTAAGTTTCTGGATGAGTACAACAAGGCCTTCAGAACTGGCCGCACTTGTGACCTGGACCCGTTTTGAGGGATCGGAGATGCAATGGCGTGTGCCCCTGGAATTCGACACAGGTAGCCTCTGACATGAAGGGCATGGCCAAAGTTTGCGCCATCAACTGCAACGAGTGCGCAGCACAATCAGGGGATGCGCACGTTGTTTGGCGGATGAACTTATGTGAAGCTGCAGTGTTCCAGACGAACTTGAGCAGGTACTCCGTGTTCTGCGACAAGCAGGGCGTTAAGGAGCATGCTTGGTTTTGCTTGCCGGCTCCCATACTTACAACTGCATACCTTTGCTACTTAAACCCGAAACCTTCAGTATCCCGAAACGTCCCCAAACCTCACCAAAAAACATCCCTAAAACCGTGTTGAGGAGACTCCGGCCGTCATGATCTACCCCCCAAACCCGGTGCCTGCCTTCAAGTTAGAAGGCAAGCTCGAGGGCAAGGCCGGGGGTTCTTCGATCTCCATCTCCATCTCCATCTGGCAGTTTCCGAACAATTTGAGGTACCTTCTTTTGGGGTCCTTATAATAAGGATCCTGCTGTTTAGGGCACTATACCAGCACCGATTTTCGGAAACTCGCATCTCTGTCTATAGATATCCAAATCTCCATCTCTGTCTCTGTCCATCCATCCACCATTTCAGTGCTGAGATGCACTGCCAGATGGGAGGCCGTTTTCAACAAGCTTGCCAAGTTCATGCCAGACCAGACCGAAAGACTCACCAAGGCGACCGATGGAATCGCATGCTGTTTCTGAAAGCGTCGTGTGCTAGAATGCTCGTGTGAAGGATAATGTCGACAAGTTCCTTACAACGGATGTGACGAAGCCCAAGGCATTCCCGAGCAGGGCTTGAACTGGACACGTGACTTTTGTATCACGCACCTCAGGGCCAAGGTCGTGATTTGATGAGCTCCGAAAGCTGATGCAACATCGCCTTGCCATGAAGGCGCTGCTCTTCTCCAATAAAAAATCCGTCCCTCTGATGTGGAAGGCAGGACTGGCTGCCTTTTCGAATGCCCATCCGCGCATGTCAGTGCTTAAATTTCAGGCGCTTTCCTCGGAGACGGCCTCTTCCCTGCATACGGCGAGTGCTAGCTCAGGGGGTTTTTGCAGACATTGTACTACTTTCGTCAATTATAACGCTCTTGGCCAGAGGTGCTTGCTAACTGCACCTGCTGGGGCTTTAGGTATTCAAGCGAACGGTGAAGTTTGGCTTCGTGACGGAGGATCAGTCGGACATTGTGCAGCGATTCAAGGCCGCCAGGAACAAACACTTGACGTGATGCAAAGGCGTATGTGCTTTCACAAGGGTTTGCTGTTCTGACTGGATTGCTATCTTCGCGTCCGGGGCTCCGTCGCATTCCTGCAGACTAAGACTATCGAGCGGCAGCACTCCTCAATCTGACAAGTCACATGTGCAGCTGAGACAGGTGAAGAAGTTTCCCACTGCTGGAGCCTCGGTGGTCCGCGGTGAGCCAGTCAAGCACATTCCATCGATTTTTGGAAGGTGCTCATACAACAGGGGGCAAAGGGAGAGAAGAAGGCGCTCGCATTGTTCAGCTCCGAGTGCAAAGTGGCAGGGCACGTCGCTGACAGGACACATACTCCGGAGAATTCAACTTCTTGGCCCTGAAAGACTGGGTCAACTTGCATTCCGAGTCCGGAATGGGTTGAACACTCAGACGGGGGACATGAGGTTTCCCTTGGTCCACAATGCATGCTCATAAGCCTTAAGCCCGAAGCCCTGAACCAAAGCGCGAAACAGACCCAAGAAACGTCCACTCATGGCACTGCGAGGTGACAAGGTGTCGAGCCCAGGAGGTGCCAAGGAAGAGACCGCCGAGGCGCCGGGTGAGAAAGGGGCAGACCGAGCAGCAGAGACCAACCAATAACAAAAAGGCATCAGCAGAATGGAGAAACGAGACACATCGAGAAACCCACGACTGAGAGCAAGCGCCATGTAGCTCAACATCAGGAGCGATGTGCAGGAGAGCTAGCCCCAGCGAGGGTGCGGGTGTGCGGCATTTGTGGAGTGCGCTCAGGAGGCCAAGCCTTGGTTGGTGCAGGAGGTGCCAGAGCTCACTGTGAAATCCCACCAGGTCCGGGGCTCCGGGGCTCGGAGAGGCGTTGCAAGGGGAAGTGTCCACCGCCCCCTGCGGCTTTCCGAGGACGTTTGCTTCAAAGGCGAGGGTCTCTGTGTCATCTTCCTGAAGGACCCCTCCGGGACTGAAGCCCAAGCGCCCATCTCGCTGCGTTGCGAGGATGGCGAAGCTTCCCAGGCTGAGATCGACATGCTCACAGGCCCCGGCCCGAATGCTCCCCTCTCACTTCTCATCCCATCCATCATCATCCGTCTCAGCACCCAGGCGTCTTTGAAGCGATCTCGGCGTTGTCATGTGACTGTAGCATCGCAAGTATCCTTGCACACTCTGGATCGGTTCTTCGCGGGGAGGTCTGTCCAAGAAGTACACATCGCAGCTGAGCGACCGTGGTGCCAAGATGAAGTGGATGCTTGCCTGTGTGAGTCTTCAAGTGCCAGGTGCAGTATGGTTTTTGTGAGTTCGGTCTGAGGATGTGGATGAATTTGAACATCGAGAAGGCCTACAAGGACTGTGTGCATCGACCTAGCTGCCTCCGCACAATCCCATCCCCTGAGCACAGGCCTTAATATGCCCTTCGCAGGACTTGTTCAAAGCTTCGCAGCTGCCATCTGCTGCGGTCTTCAATCCTCACAAGAGGCTGGGAGCACGACCCACACACTTCAGGGGATCGGGCTGCGAGAACGGACCGGACCCGCCCAGGCTGCGCTTCACGCTGCTGGATCACGGCGAGGACGGCGAGGCGGATCTTCTAAGAGGGAAGCGCGGAAGCGCTGAGCTTTGCAGTGCCCCGTGTGCCGAGGTGAAGGGCGACGAGCAGGGCATCATCAAGCTCTTGGATAAAGTGCTAGGAGCGCTCTCTGGGCTCCGGGCCTTTGCTTCCATGAAAAAAGCGGAACGACACGGGAGTTTGCACAGGAGGCGATGCGCGCTTCACGATGGTTCCGGGCCAGAAGCTGCCGGCCTGGGCCCAGCGCGAGGCGCCTGCGAAGAAGGCCCGGCCGCCTTTTGCCGAGGTGTCGGTGATATTTGATAGAGTGAGTATGATTATCATTAGTATTATTATTATGATTATTAGTATTATTATTGTTACTACTAGTAATTATCATGGCCAGGCTGTGTATACTGTTCTTTTTTGAAGCTCTTGTCAGAGAACCGCTGAGATGGCTTTTATGAGACAACGCTCACACATGCAGGAGCGCAGGTTTTTCTTACGATCCTCAATCATCGTTAGAATCGTAATTGTCAGTTTCATATTCATGTTCATCTTCATGTCAAATAATTCAAAAATCGTAATCATACTAATATTAAGATTAGTACCAATAACACTAGTATTAATATTACCAACACGTCGGAAAGACGAACACGACACGAATGCTCATGCTAATGCGAGTAACAATAATCCTGCCCACAATCAGCATAACGATAGTAACAAGTATTTAGCTGCATAAATATTCAACGAAAGAGCATGAACAGCATGCTTGAGCTATGCTTGCCTGGGAGGCGGAGCTATGAGGAAATGGGTGAGTGCACCACTGTGTTCGTTAGGGCTGTGCGAGCTGCGGAACTGTGGAGCAATTCCAGTGGTAAGACTCAAGACAAGAAGTGGCAAACATCTTTGATCTGTCCTCGCTGCACCTCGCCGCAGATGGATTCCAAGAATGCCCGGCTGCGTGCGTGGGTCGGTATGGCATCACTTGCAGTAGGTGCCCAGCATCAATGATGCTCATGCCACGCGGACCTTCGCTGTCCTGTCCCGATTCGCAGGACTTTACAATGTCCTGTAGGCTGCGAGTTTTTGTCACTCCATCGAATTTGCGCTCAAGCGCATGAGTGCTGTGCAGATAGATCGCAGGCCAACAGATTCCTGAGCACCCTGATGACATTGCAGATTGAATCTCTGCAATCGGGTTGTCGGCATACGTGCCCAATGGCTCGAAGACTGTGGCCAAGAATTGGCTATCTTCCCTTCTGTTGCTAAGAGTTCTTCCAAGTTCTTTGTTCAGACGTCTTAAATGCCAGGACCACAACAGTGGGGAGGGAGCATGAAAAACCAAGCCCGGTGCTCTGCCAGGCTGCTGATCGCTGAAGAAGCATGAAAACAAGGGCAGCATTACAATGCCCAGAGTTCTGCCCGCAACTGCCTGCAAGCTGGAAGCACGTTCTAGGATGTCTTGTGCACTTTGTAGAACCCTGCGCTTGACCGTGCAGTTATCTACTGAGCAGCGTCCTCGCTGGCTGCCTGAAAGCTGCGAAGGAATCCAGAGCAGTGAAGGCCACTTGCGATGAGAAGTCTCCCGGCTCGGCCGAGATGTTACTGCATTGAAGGTCCGCTTCAACCAGCACGGTGTCATGAGCAACCAGCCACCGGGCAGTTAGAATAAATGCCACACAGCATTGCTTGCAACACTCGAGGATGGCATAGGGACTTCTCGCAAGGTTCATTCTCCGCAGCCGTGGCAGACAGCTCCTATGCGAGGCTTCAGTAGCCGTTTTGGTGTTGAAGAATCATGGCTGGCTCTCTGACAGGCTTTGGTGTGTCCTACTGCCGAGCAGGCGCGGCGACAGGTTGCAGCAGAAGAAAGAGCCGCTGAGCGCGCTGAGCGCGCTGAGCACGGGTGCTGCAGAACACTGCGGAAGCTGAACACCCCCGCTTCGACACTCTGGGACCAGTGGAGACTCCAGCCTTCCCGCTTTCCCCCTGCACACAATACACACACATACACAAGCACTTACACTTACGCAAAACGAGGAATTCCATGGGCCATGGAAGACGAGATCATACCCGAAAGCATGCAAAAGCTGATGTGTAGGTGCTGAACGGACCGGGCCTTCCTGCGTCTGCACCTGAGTTCTCCCAGTTCTGTTGGGCATGACGACGGTATGTGATGATGCTGGAGTCATCTCGATTGAGCAGTGCGCGCTTGACAAGCATAGTAAGGCACCACCAGTCTCAAAGTATTCCTGCGAGCGAGCACTGCCCTCGTTGGAGAGGCCTTGTGGAATCACTGTTCGGCTGCATTGCGCTTCAGGTCTATGGGGTACTGACTCGGAGCAGCAGGCAGGCGAGCGCAAAAAGAGGTGGCACCCGAGCCTGGAGAGCTGACAAATGCCTGATTTGTAGCCTAGCTTCATTTGATGCTTCTGAGTTTGATACTGACTGATGCTGGTTCTTGGGGAAGTTTAAGCGTGCCACTGGAAGATTGAAGGCTGCAACGCCCAAACTTCGACGTTGTGGACATGACTTTGAACGCTAGGACCATTAGGATAGCGGCTGGCCGACCTGCAGGGTAGCCAGGCAGCTGCCGCTGGCTGCCAGAGATGCTTTCATTGAAGTTGAAGCAAAACTGTTTTCAAAAGTCGCAGGCGTGCTGGCCCAAAACCTGACGCTGCCCGAGGGACGCCATGCCCGACGCTGCCGTGTTGTTGTCCTCGGGATCGCGGCCGTGCAGCTCGCGCGCCTTCTTGCGCGCCATCGGGCCGCTGCGGTCGCGCGGCTGTTGCGGCCGTCGGCCGTCACTGCCTGGGTCACGCATGTCACGCGCTGGTCCGGCATCCATGGCCGTCGATGCCCAGTGCGCCTTCGCGGCCTTTCTCCTTGAGCTCCGCCCCCGCCGCTGAGCTCGGAGATGGCCCTGAGAAGAGCTGCGCGCCGACGCGCGGTGGGACTCCTCTGCCTAGTCCTCCGGCTGCGGGGCCGCCGCCCCGTAGGTCGCAGTCGCGGACATGCCTGCGGTCGAAAGGTGCGCGGAAAGAAAAAAACGCGTGAAGCCTGCAAGTGGCTCGGCAGGGCCACGCTCTTTGGTCCATGCGCTTCTCCTCTAGGGCAAGGTGTCATCGGGCTCCTGTGGGTCACGGACGGCTAGGGTCACAAGACATTACGAGTTTGTGGGGTCAGGCTTTTAAGTTTGAGGGCAGCCGTTTTACTCCACCCCTGAACAGTTTAAATCTCGGCCACGACCACGTCGACGGGGCCCACGAACGGACGCACGTGTGCTTTCTCCTCATGTTCTGCTTTCCCACGCCAAGACATGGGGATCGCGCGTTGCTTTCGCCCCTGGCGTGGTTCTGCGCACCGCCAAAACCCGCAAACACGCTACCTATACCCAGAGCTGCAATGCGGAGGAGCCCGAGGTTGCCGCGGCTGCCGTTTGAGCTCGGTGCTGGTGGAGAGTTTTCTTTCGTTGTACATCGTTGGTCAGCGTGCAAGAAGCTCTGTCGGCGGCCGGTCGGGTGTGGTTCGCGGCGTTTGCGCCTGGGCACCGTGCCGCTTCGACAATAAGCGGTTTTGCGAGCAGGAAAGAAGACGGTAGGTAGGTGGCTTCTGAAGTTCTGAAGGAATGTACGGACCGAACCTTCCTGCAGATGCAAGAAGGTCAGGTCAAAGCCACGTGTTGAGACATATGGGCATGAAAGGCCATTGAACCGTTTCGCTGATGTGGCATACGTGTGAAATTGTATGTGAGCACGTCGTGCGGCTAAATTAAATTGTTGAAGTTTGGTTCAATGAAGTCCTCGAATTAAGCCGATCGCCGCACATATCCAAAGCCATGCGGCAAACTTCTGAAAGTTATGTTTGTTTGGGTCTACCCCGCTTCCGATGTCCATCATGCCTTGGACGGGTGGGCCGCGGCGAAGGACCTGGGCTCCCATTCACTTCTCTTCATGTTTCCTTTCTGGGCTCCTGGGTTGGACGGGTGGGCCGCGCCAAAGGACCTGGGCTTTATGGGCTCCCTTCATGTTTCCTTTCTGGGGTTCTGGGTTGGACGGGTGGGCCGCGGCGAAGGACCTGGGCTCCCATTCACTTCCCTTCATGTTTCCTTTCAGGGCTCCTGGGTTGGATGGGTGGGCTGCGGCAAAAGACCTGGGCTCCCATTGGGCTCCCTTCATGTTTTCTTTCCGGGCTGCTGGGTTGGACCTGGACTTTCGTTGGGCTCCCTTCATGTTTCCTTGGGCCGCGGCAATCCCGTTTACATCCCTTCATGTTTCCGTTCTGGGATCCTGGATTGGATAGGTGGGCCGTGGCAAAGGGATTGGGCTGCCAATTGGGTTTCCTTCCTGTTTCCTTTCTCGGCTAATGGGTTGGACGGGCGGGCCGCAGCAGACGGCTTGCGGAAAAATTGTCAATGGTTCCGTGTAAGGGAAATACTTGTTTGCGATGTAAGTCGACTCCTTCGCTTTTCTTTTTGCCCGGTTTGTGCGGCAAAGTTGCTCGTCTTTCCCGTGCGACAGCCGACCGATCCGTATACACTTGTGCTGCTTCCACGAACGTCTACAGCAGAGGCAAGGTATCCTGTCTTGCAAAACGGCAAGGTTGTGACACTTGCGGGAAACTTGCCGCAAGATCCTGTGGACGGCGCTCTTCGTTCGGTCTGCGGAAAAATCGTCAATGGTTCCGTGCAAAAGAAAATTTTTGTTCGCCTTAGAAGCCGACAAACCTCTTCGCACTTCTTTTTGCCAAGTTTGCACGGCAAAGTTCCCAATTTGCTCCGTCCGACAGGCGACGGATCCGTATACCAACCTGCTTCGTGCTTCTCCCGCAATCATCTACAGCAAAAGTCAGGTGTCCAGTATTGCAAAGCAGCAATGTTGTAACAGTTAGTTGGTCGAATACGACGTTCCCTGTCCTTGTATAGGTAACATTTGACTGTGTAGCTTAATATGCCAATGACATGATCCTTGGCTCAAGTAATGAGAAAAGAGGTACGCTTGCAGCTTGTGCTGGGCTTCCCTTTTGGGTTTCCTTGCCTTGCCCGGCGATCCTACCCCAATTTGTGTGTGTGTGTGTGTGTTCTCCGTGCGTGGTTTCTGCGGAAGTAAGATCCTGTGGACGAAGTTCTTCGTTCGGTCTGTGGACCAATTCGTCAGTGGTTCCGTGTAAAGAAATTATTTTGCCTTGTAAGCCGACACACCCCTGTGCAGTTTTCTTTTCGCCAAGTTTGCGCGGCAAAGTTACCACTTTTCCCCGTGCGACAGCCAACCGATCCGCAAACCAACCTCTTTTGTGCTTTTTCCACAAACGTCTACAGCAGAGGCCAGGTATCCGGTATCCTGTTTTGCAAGTAACAGTTGCGGGAAGGTTGTGTGTTCTTCCGTGCGTGGTTTCTGCGGCAGCAAGATCCTGTGGACGACGTTCTTCGTTTTGTTTGCGGAAAAAATCGTCAATGGTTCCGTGTAAACGGGAACTTGTGTGTTTCTCCGTGCGTGGTTTCTGCGGCAGCAAGATCCTGTGGACGACGTTTTTCGTTTTGTCGGCGGGAAAAATCGTCAACGGTTTCGTGTAAAGAAAGATTTTTGTTTGCGATGTAAGCCGACAAACCCCTTTGCGTGTGTTTTTGCCAAGTTCGCGCGGCAAAGTTCCTACCTTTTCCCGTGTGGCAGCCAACCGATCTGTACACCAACTTGTTTTGCGCTTTTTCCACAGACGTCTACAGCAGAGGCCACATGTCCTGTTTCGCAAAACGGCAAAGTTGCGTGTTTTTTCCGTGCGTGGTTGCTGCGGCAGCAAGATCCTGTGGATTTTCGTTTTGTCTGCGGACAAAATCGTGAATGGTTCCGTGTAAAGAAAGGTTTGTGTTTGCGATGTAAGCCGACAAACCCATTTCCTAATTTTTTCGCCATTTTTGCGCCGCAAAGTTCACACTTTTTTCTCGTGCGACAACCAACCGATCCGTATACCAACCTGTTTTGCGCTTCTTCCACAAACGTTTACGGCAGAGGCCACATATCCTGTCTTGCAAAACGGCAATGTTTTGTGTGTTTTTGTCCGTGCGTGGTTTCTCTGGTAGCTAGATTCTATGGATCTTCGTTCGGTCAGCGGAAAAAGTCGTGAATGGTTCCGTGCAAAGAAAATCTTTTTGTGTTGTAAGCCGACGCACCCCTGTGCGCGCTTCTTTTCGCCAAAATTGCGCGGCAAAGTTCTCAATTTTTTTCCCGTGAAGCAGCCAACCGATCCATATAGCAACCTCTGTTGTGGTTCTTCCTCCAATGTCTACAGCGGAGGCAAGGAATCCTGTTTTGCAAAACGGTAATGTTATGAAAATTGTGGAGAAGTTGCGTTTTTTCTTTGTGCGGTTCCTGCGGCAACAAAATCCTGTGGGCAATGCTTTTCGTTCGGTCAGCAGAAAAAAACGTGAATGGTATCGTGTTAGGAGAGCTTTTTGTTTGCCTTGTAAGCCGACAAATCCTTTCCTACCTTTCTTGCCAAACATGCACGGCAAAGTTCTCGTTTTCTTCCCGTCCGACAGCCAACCGAAGCGAACACCAAGCTCTTTTGCACTTCGTCCGCGAACGTTTGCAACAGAGGCCAGGTATCCTGTTTTGCAAAGGCGGCAACAATGTGGCAGTTGCGGGAGAAATGTGCATGTTTTCCGTGCATGGTGTTGCAGCAAGATCCTCTGAACGATGCTCCCTGGACCTCCCCAAAAACCTTCCCACATGCTTGAGTCCCACCACCCACTCTTCCTTCGCAGAAATATATCGCCCAATGCTTAATTCATCTTCGCAAAATCTGCTGGCGAAGCCAGATTGGGATCCAACACATTCCAACTTGAACCGGTATGATTCGATGCATTCTGTTTGGGGTCTTCGCTGTAATCTGGACTATAAGCTCCGACTGGCAGCTGAGTGCCACCGTCAGGCAGCCGTCCCATTGTTGCGTCTCCTGGAAGGTGACTTATCTGACTGCCGCTTCACTGCAGGGCAGCAGGCTTTTTCGGATTTGTGGCGGGTGGCCTCGCGAGGCTTCCTCCAGTACTGGCGACAAGTTGCTGAGGGCTTCACATTGCAAGGACGGATCCGCTCGTTTCAGGCAGGACCCTTCGCTTTGAGGTGGCCCAGGCCATCGAGCACAAAGGAGTTGGCCGTGACACATGGAAAGTCGACCCGAAGTGGAATGAAACCACCGAGGGAGGCTCAGTGCCCACCAATTGGAAGGAATGGTGTGCCAGCTTGAAGCGTGACAACCGATGGATGTGTGGCGACACCCTTGAGATGTCAGCCATGCGGCTTAAGGCAACCATCGTGCTTCACTACTGGGATGCGGCTGC